ATTCATCGCACGCTTATAGGCAAAACTTACAATTTTTTTAGGATATTCAAATTTTCAATAAGTTTTAATAAAATTTTATTTTCAAGAAATTTTCAAGAAAACTAAGAGATGAGGAGGGAAGATGTAACATGGAAATATGATATAAAAGTGAAGGACAAGGGAAGACGTAAATGTAATTTTTGTAACAAAGAAATGGATGACAATATTTTTTGCCTAAAAAAGCACCTTGCTAGAGTACAGGGTAATGGCATTCATTGTGATGATGTGCCAACACCAATAAAAAGAACAAAAGTTAAAAGCACTTGCGAATAAAAAAAATGAAAAAAATATACAAAGACAAAAGGATGTAGAGGAGGTAGGGAGGGGGTATGAAAGTACCATACCAATAAAAAGAACAAAAGTTAAAAGCACTTGCGAATAAAAAAATGAAAAAAATATACAAAGACAAAAGGATGTAGAGGAGGTAGGGAGGGGGTATGAAAGTACCATAGATGAGGTGGAGGAAAAAAAGTAGAGTTCGATGCATTAATGGAATGGGCTATGATTGTCAATCTCTACAAGATGAACTACATATAAATGAAAATTCAATAGATGTACAATAGAAGGGATGGCACATCCTCTAGCTGCCCACCTCAACAACCCATAGTGCGGGGTATGGGAGGATGCGGGCCTTATTGCTTAGGTCTACATCTAATAGACTACGTTGTAGTTTCTCTAGTCGCTCATCCTTTTATAATCAGCCATCTACTACTCATCGACCTAAACCTGTAGATACCCGGTGAACCATGTGGACTTGACCTCCACATGCCACAATACCATCAGAAAAAATTAAAAATTCTACTTGGAATGAAATTTGTGGAAAGGACTAGATCGTTAGCATGTTTTGGTATGCTAATACTTTACCATTTAATTCTGCAAACTCGGACTACTACTTGCGGATGGTTTATGTTATAGTTGTTGCAAGGCTGGGTTTTAAAGCCTCAACTGCGAAGGATCTTACATGGCCGTGTTTAGAAGATTTTGTTGATGATATAGATGAGCATATTGTACAGTTCAAGGTTTGCTGGCTAGGAATTGGGGTGTCCATCATGACAAATGGTTGGAAGGATAAGATCTGCTGGTCAGGCACTCAATTTTTGGTGTTTAGGGTTGAGACTCAGAGTTTCAGTTCTGAGTTCAAAAAAATCTACCCAACGATCGATTTCTCTGTCATTTTTTAATCTTTTTAGTCAAAATTTGTGCCTTTTGAAGATCAAAGAGTTCATCACAGGATAACATTGATAATTTGGTCGAGCTGAGCAATTTTCATGCTCGATTTTGAGGGTTTAGGGCTCAAACTTATATTTTCAATTCTGAGTTAAAAAAAATCCACCCAACGATCGCTTTCTCCATTGTCATTTTTAAATATTTTTTTGCCAACATTTGTGCTTTTTTAAGATAAGAGAGGTCATCATAGGATCACCGGGCTAATTTGGTCGAACTGAGCAATTTTCATGCTCAATTTTGGCAAGAAATAAGATCTTGGGAAGAATAATGGTGAAAAAATTTGGTATGAATTTTGTACGCCTTATCATTTCATATTTTTTTATATGAATTTTTAGTTGCTTGAGTAGTTGTTTTTCAAATTATTTTGCTGAAAAAAAAATTAGGCATTTTGACCATTCTTGATACATTCAATACGCGAAAAAGTATTTTTTTCGATTTGAAATAATTGTCTTCAAATTTATCTCATTAATTTATAATTTCATGGGAAAAAACTCGATTTTTAAATCTATCTCTAATTTTGTTTTAATTCTATAAAATCTAAACTTGCGGCTTGCATTTTTTTCTTTTATTTAATACTTAATCTAATATTATGACATTATTTTTTATTTTAAGTTTTGTTAATCCGTTTTTTTAAGCAACATTATTGTGATGTTTTAAATTTAAACATTAGAAAGTATATTTGGTCATTTACTTAAATGCATTAATGTGTAATAATGTATTGTTATGTTCTTATAGACATTGTAAAAAATTGTGTTTCAGGCAAACAAATCGGTGCCCCAGATCGGGCATCCAAAAACCCATCTGGATTGGAAATCGGCCCAATTGGTCGGATTTACCCTTAAAAAATTTAGAAAAAATTATTAAAATCCATTATAAATATTGGTTTTTAGGAATCCAATAAGAAATGATGGTACTCCATTAAGAACTTGCATTTTTTTTATATCAATATGTGAATATTAAGATCTTATTTCTCTACATGAACTACTGTTAACCATTAAAGTTACATCATACAAAAGGATAAGTATAGAATTATCATGGATGAATTATATCAATATATAGTGACTACAATAAAGCATACAATTCGTAAATAGGACCTAATAATAAAATGAAAGGCGACGTCGTTCTTCATCTTGGTCACGTTGGTGCCATTGATTGAATTGTCGTGACAATTCATTGACTCAATCTAGGAACAAATAATCTACATTAGTGGGTACCTGACTATACCAAAATCTTTGAGTGTTAGTGTTTTGTTATGCTCTAATCCAAAATCCCCGAAGCTTGTCCATCCTTCATGCTCACCTACACTGTCGTGCTCGTCCCTACCGTCCTGTTGTTGGGACTCGGTATGTGAATAATTTGGTTGGGCTAGGGTGCCCTCAGAATCATTTTCCCTTATACCCCCTTCCCACTCTCCCTTATTAGGTGTAATACCACTGACATCTTCGATGAATTATGGATATGTTGGCGGGCTGCTTCCTCTTTCATGTTGCTCATCACTTTCTTCAACATCTTCCTCACCGATAACCTCAATGAACACTCTCTTATGTAACATTGGCTCTTCTTCCTCTATTACCCATTGTTCTGCTATGTTTGTGACAAATATTGTGTCCAAGTCTATTAGCTCGTAGTCTTCAAGCTTCCTTCTTATTTGTCGCTCTCAGAGGTTTAAGTTGGAATGAACATATATTAGTTTATGAAGTCTCTCCGAAGCGAGTGGATTCTTGTTAGTAGTGTGCAACCATTGGAACGTACTCCAATTTCGCTCACACTCAGTAGCAGAACATTTATGAGAGAGCACGTTGATTGCTATCCTCAAGTGCATCACTACCATATATCTCCCACCATTTAGCTGGATTAAAATACAAAAACATTATAAGGGTAAGAACAATTCATAAGATTAAAGATATAAAAGAACAAAATATTAATTAGGGGTTAACCTGGATCCATGTTAGTTTGAATTCTTGGCAAGTCAAGTTCCGAAAGATCCTACAACATCCCTATATATAAAAAGCTAAACCAAATATTTCATTTTAGTACATTAGTTATTCATCACAAATATAACAACTTAATGAAGTTATTACCTAGATATTAAATATTATCTCTTGTAATGTCGCTACCTGGTTTTGATGGCTTCCCTCCAGCCTGCCCCTTCCATAATCTTGTGGGGATGTTCAGGTGTCAAATAGAAAAATTTTGGGTTGAAGTAGTAACTTAGAAAATACATAGATAGAGAAAAGTCATTTAAATTTTCTATTAAAAAAATTAAATTTTAAAATTAAACATTCTATGGATATATATATATATATATATATATATATATATATACATGCATGATGAATTGGACGGCCAAATTTGATGTTCCACCTTCTTTCTATAATCTCGATCACTTTACTAGCAAAACTACACTTCTCCCCAATAGTTGATTTGACGCTCTTGATACCTTCGTAAAGGTTGCCAATGGTAGCTATACCTTCGTAAAGGTTGCCAATGGTAGCGTTCTTGTTAGTATCTA